GTGTAAACACTCACATTCTGATAGATCAGGAATCTGGCAGGGAGTGTGAAAGAACTTCGCTGTATCTTGTAAACAGTAACAGTAACCGATGACATGGCCTTCACCTTCTGAAAACAGATGAGGCAGGTGGTTCTGAAATACACCTGTGGAAACCTAATGGGTGGCGAAAAGAAATACTGCTGGTTTTAGTGATGGACTGAGTGACTGAACGTCTTAGGAGAAAGTGGAAGAGAGCTGCCATACATTGTTCAAACGCAAGCTGAGGTGCTCCACTCTGTAATTACTTGCATGTGTCTACCTGGTAGTTGTCACTGTTTTTAAGTGTGTAAAGGTGTGCATTTTATGATCCTATTCACAATTTCAAATGGCTAAGGAATTGTGTCATGAGTTAAGAGGGCTTTTCCTTTATTAGAAGACGAATGTGCATGTTTAGAATGGAAACCAAAGACAGTGGCATGCAAAAAGAAGGTAGACACAAAGTGTGTCATGCTCAGATAAATACATTTGCTCTTATCTTCAAAGGTAATATTAACTCTTCTCCTTCTCAAAAATTAACTAATGATGTCTTCCGCAATTACGTTTTACCTTTTTAGGAATCATTATCTTTGGGTTTAGACTAGGCTGTGATTTGAACAGGAGACCTATTAATCTTTCCTTTTATCTTTGATATGTTGTGTAAACTCAATCTTTTAGAGGTAGACGACTGGAGTTTAACTTTGCTGGGAGTGGTGTTGGGGGCAGGAACTGTACAAAAACATGTACAGCAATGACCACTGCCTGACCAGATGCAGCCGGTTTGTTCTGAGAGAGCCAGCAGGATTCATCTCATTGTCTCAGTGAGGGAAAGAAAAATACAAGAGCCAATGCCACAAGCAAGTAGCAGCCCTCTCATTCCTGCACCATGCCAAAACAGCAACTATCAAAACAGTAGGGCTTTTTAGGAGATCAAGAGAAGTACTACTGCCTCACCACAGGGGTCCTGTTAGAACTCAGCTCCTTATAAAGACAGACTTCACTTATTATAAACAAAGAAGCACAAGAGTAAGAAAAATCTCAGAGCCCAGGTCCAAGAGAAATTGAAAACTAAACCTTGCGAAAAGCCTCTGAATCACTATGCCACCCACAGCAGGCTCATGTTCCAGGTGTAGAGTTTATCCTGAACGTTTTAAGTCGAGGAGAGTCTGTACGAAATAGAGTGAGTTGAAAACAGTAAATTCCTGTGGAAAATGAGGAGAATCATGAACTCACATGAGAGTAACAGCTGCTGCTCAAAGTCAGAGTTTCATCATGTACAGCGGATCTCTATGGGTAAAAGATAAGGCACTGCAGAAGAGCTGATGGGAAGAGTACAGGAAGTCTGGCTGATAACCACGAATCGGTTCTTTAGTACAATGCGTTACAACGAATCGTTTGGTAACCGATTCAGCAATTCCTTTATGCAATGACGTATATGTCATCACTTGTCGTCATCATACATTATTAAGTCCTAAATATTTTTTTTCCCGGCTATTATTAAGGAACTTATTTTTCGCCCCATCATTCAAATCCTCGGTTCATTCGAAATCACTTATTGTACACATTCGAAAAAGAGGTTTCAAACACCGTGTATATAGGACACAACAGTTGTCGTGTCGCGCCAACAGCTAAAGTCTGTCTACACTGGATGCGACAAAGCGACCGTTGAAAATCATTTGAAATTTGTGTCAATACGTCATAAATAGAACGCAGCAGCAGTTTTCTGTCGGGGATTTGTCGTGTCGCGCCGCATCCAGTGTAGACAGCATCACGGATTATAATGAGTTCTATAGTATTTTGTCGCGCCGCGCCGCTCGCGTCCAGTGTAGACACGGTGAAATAGTCAGTCAATTGACTATAAGAACCGCTTGGACCGATGGACCCTTTTCACAAGACTGTGATGACGCGTTTCAACGGTCATCAGCATCGTAAATCCTCCAAAGTTTTTTGTATTTTCATTTTTTTTTAAATGTATTTACATTTATAACACTATAATTTGTCTTATATTACCTTTGCATCAAATTACAAAAAACTAGTTAACGCTACGCTAGGGTGTTTCTAACTGGCGGTAAATTTGGCATCGTTCTCTACTGCCTCTCTCTAATTTTTTTTTTTTTAAAGTAATGAAAACACTATCACGGAGTTCTTCTTTAGCTATTTATAAAAATATATATTGGTGGTAGTCAACTCTGACGACTTCTGCTGCTGCGAAACCCGGAAATGTTCGAGTAATGAATGAATCGTCCAGTGCGTGCTAGTTTCTCTACTGACTGTTGCTATCGTTCTCTACTGCCTCTCTCTAATTTTTTTTTTTTTAAAGTAATGAAAACACTATCACGGAGTTCTTCTTTAGCTATTTATAAAAAATATATATTGGTGGTAGTCAACTCTGACGACTTCTGCTGCTGCGAAACCCGGAAATGTTCGAGTAATGAATGAATCGTCCAGTGCTGTTTAGTGAACTGGTTCAATTGATTCAACATATCTGACTCCAAAGAACGATTCGTTCGAACATGATTCGAACATAGCTAAAATGGAAAGAGGGACGCGTTTGGTGCAGTGCACCTTCAATAGCAAATGAAAAAAGTGGACTTAACTATTTATTTGAGCTCTCAAAACATTGTTATATAGTTTGTGTGAAACAACAGGAGCAGTCGCGGCTATGCATAAAATGACAAGACAAAGGTTTATCCTAAACTAACAGTATAATTAGACTGTTAGTTTAGGATAAACCTTTGTCTTATCTAGCGTCATTAGGTTTCTGTTAGTTTAGGTAGATAAACTTTTCATGCAATTATTTGTGAATGATTAATTAACTACAATACCATTTTACTCACGTTTGCTGTTTATTTCCATTGTTAGAAGAATCAAATAGAACTCCTTGGCGTGTTGGAAACACACATTGCAGCCCGTGCACCCATCGATGTTATGTACTTAAATGACACTCTGCATTGAAAGATTCTCAATGAAGTTACAAAGACCGACTTCCCTCCATTCTCCTGCTGGGTCCTAATGCTCCCTCTGACCGGGTTTGATGACAGACTGCCCCACATGACTTCTGATGCCACTCATCACACAAAGAATTACAGAAGAAATCAATCTTTAATTGCAATAGAAGATGTACATAGTCTGTTGAAACTGACAGATAAATAAAGTTAGTAAAGTAGCAGTAGTGATTAAAAAAGAGAGACTCAAAAATATGGTTATACTCTAGCTCTCTTCCTTCACTATGAAATTAATAGAACACTTCATAACAATCTATTGGGCAAACAGGTTGTAAACACTACACACAAAGGCAGAAAACATGATGGTTTCACCTGTTTGTCAGTGAGGTACAAAAACTAAGTATCAGTATCCCTTGGCATGAAAGACCCCACGGTTACTGTTAGGTCCTAATCAGGGTTACAGCTTGTTATTTGTCACTTGCTTCAATGGTGTTATCCCTATTATTGGCCATATAATTCATGTTTACTCCCTCTGCATTTATTTCATTACCAAACCAGGTGACGTAATCACCCTGGCATGACCCAAAAATATATTAAACCCACTTTAAGGTATCACAGCATTTCCTGATCCATCCTAACAGGAGTGATGAAAGTAATCTGGTCTAACCTTACCAACAGATCTCTTTTTTTAAGAGCATAACATCTCAGAAAAAAAGAAAACGAAAAAAAGAAAAACATTGCACCTTAATTCTTTCCTAGTATCTGTTTTGTCTTCATCATCTGTATTAGACACAAGCCATATGTATTTCTACCATCACAATATACAATGTGTGTTTCATCAATATTAGTCTAATAATCCTAAAGTCTTCTTGTGAGAAAAGTGTACATTCAGTATGCATTACTCCTTTGAAATGACCTGAACAAAGTACAGCACCGTAGTGCTCAATTTCATCTGCTAACTTCACAAATAACAGTCAGACTTTGGTATTCATTGTCAAGCAAATCATCGCTTATTTCAGCCCATCTAAGCTTATGTAGTCCTTGAATAACAGTGAAATAAAAGGACTGAAAAATATTATTTTATAACCTTTAAAATTAATGTTACTTAATAATGTACTTGATGTAATGATGTAATAATGTACTTCCACTCTCATTAAAGTTGTATTAATCATATTTGCATTCTGTTCACTCACTTTGCTGGTGCATAAATTAATAGAGAACATAAGGCAAAATTCAAAATCCTTACAATTCCTGATTCCTTAGTTTTGTCATTCAGAAACAAAATAAAATGTGTTCACTTTACACTCAAGTCAAAACTAAAATGTTCCCACCATTCTGTGTATCATGTTATTTATTTATGTCTTCCTTTGTCAGGTATTCTAGCCTGTCTGATCATTTATATGCTTCTTGTGAGAAAAGTGTACATTCAGTATGCATTACTCCTTTGAAATGACCTGAACAAAGTACAGCACCGTAGTGCTCAATTTCATCTGCTAACTTCACAAATAACAGTCAGACTTTGGTATTCATTGTCAAGCAAATCAGCGCTTATTTCAGTCCACCTAAGCTTATGTAGTCCTTGTATAATAGTGAAATAAAAGGACTGAAAAATATCATTTTATAACCTTTAAAATGAAATATTACTTAATAATGTACTTGATGGATGATGTTGAATGATTCATCCACTCTCATTATATTTGTATTAATCATATTTACATTCTCTTCACTCACTTTGCTGGTGCATAAATTAATAGAGAACATAAGGCAAAATTCAAAATCCTTACAATTCCTGATTCCTTAGTTTTGTCATTCAGAAACAAAATAAAATGTGTCCAAGAACCACTTTACACTCAAGTAAAACGAAAATGTTCCCACCATTCTGTTTATGTTATTTATTTCTGTCTTTCTTTGTCAATTATTCTAGCCTGTCTGATCATTTATATGCATCTGTCACAAAGAACAGTTGCACAATTTCTAGGTACAGACCCGGCATGACTATGTGTCTGAGGATGTGTTTGTTTAGTTAGACTGGAACAGGTATTCAGGTCTCTCTGTGTGTGTGGGACAGAAATGTTAGAACAGCCGGGCTTGTTTCTTCATCTCGTTCTTCTTCCACAGTGCCAGACGGTCAAACTCAACCATTGTCATCCCAAACACCTGATAGAACTCCTCAGGGGAAAGATGCCGCTAAAATGAAAAGGAAAATTCAGTATGTCCATCTAGTCGTCCATGTGTTCATTATTTGTATGCAATTATTAAATATTGTTATAATTTACTATATATAGAGAGAGCTAGATAGATCTTATGCTCTGTTATGCTCACCAAAGCTACAATTATTTAATAAAAAATACTTAAAATAATACTTAAAATAATAATATTGAGAAATATTATGACAATGTAAAATAATTGTTTTCTGTTTTAATATATATTTTAACATGTAATTTATTTCTGTAGAAGAACTGCATTCGTTTTAAAAAGAAATCTTTCTGTAACATTGTAAACTTCTTTACTGTGACTTTTGATCAATTTAATGCATCCTTGCTGAATAGCATTCATTTATTAGGTAGTAAGTATATTAAGTATTATTTTCTTTCAAACTAAAATCTTACTGACACCAAACACCAGTGTATTTATACAATATATAGTTTAGAATTTAATATAATATTCATATATTAAAACTGTTACATGCTGTATATAATAAACAGTTTACCTCCAATCTGGCCCGGTCTACATCCTTTGGCAACCTATTACGCCCCCTAGTGGTCACAATAAGTGCTTCATATGGGTAGATCTGTAATGAAAGTTCATTGTAAACTTTAAAATACGTAAATATTGAAACTTATATTTATTTATTTACAAATAATTGTCCTGACTCTGTGAAACTTTCTTTCATCGATTGGTAATGGAAAGCTAAGCATTGTTCTGAGAGGCTGTGCATTGGTGGACCTCCTTTTCCTCTCACTTACAAAAGTGAAAGGAAATCACAGAGCCTCTGGCACAGAAGCTGTAACCGAGACAGGAGAACAATATAGTTCCTGACCAACCAGAAGCAAATGGGTCAGACAAACTCCTGCCCTCTCCACGGCCCCTGCAGTCTCCAACTCACTAAGGGCCAGCTGGGGAATGACACAGTGACCTTATGACCTGGAAGCACTAATTTCTCCATCCTCTGGTTTCCACATGCTTTGACCAGCAGAATGTTGCTTTGACCCATCAGTGGACAGAGCTTTCCTCTGGAGTGGACAGTGGGCTAATGTTTCAGAGGTGCCTCTGTATCAGGATGTTTTAGTGACTCTCTGGGCCCTCTTTAATCCTCTGGTAATGCTAAACCATCATCCTTACCTTGTACTCTGTTGGGAAAGAAAAAAAAAGCTTTTAAAGTCAGAACTAATTTCTGCACAAATAATTTTATTCCCAAATATGTCAGCAAAATAAGCATTTTGTAAAAAGAAGAAAAAACTCCTTTACTTACCTCTGATTCCCCAGGTGACTTCACTGCCACTGTCATACTGATAGTAGTCTGCACTTTGTGGCTGGAAAACAAATAGACAGGCAAACAAATTGTGGATAAAGTTTTAATTGACATTTCCAACCCATCTGCTTTTACTGCTCTGTCTGTCCAGTTACTGAACATTAAAACAAATATAAAAAAACAGAACAAACAAGCAATAAACAAAATATTCAAGACATAGAATTTATAGTTACAAAAATGCAGGTGTGCTTTACAAAAATGGAAGTTGTAAATAAAACAATTATTATTGCATGTCATTTCATGTTTAATTCACTGTGTTACTTGCCAACTGTTTGTAAATTTACTAGCAATTTATGAGTGAAAATTGTTTAACTTTTTTTTTCAGTGAAACTTACCCTGTGCAATCCATTCCTGCCATATCCGGGCAAAGAGGCTGACTTGGATATGTAGTCTTCAAATAATAATAATAATAATAATAATAAGACAGAACAATAAACATCAATTTATGAAACAACCTCACTATATGAGAAAAGGTTTGTTAAATTTTGACTGCCTTTTTCGTAAGTGTACAGTAGAGGGCGCTAGTGACCAGGCTTGAATCTGTGTTGATAACGCTGCAAATATTTATCTGTTCTTTTATTTATGCAAAATAAATTAACTACAGACAACAGACACAGTCTCCCTGGGGTTAAAAGCCTTGCCAAAAAATTATGAGAATTATATACCTTGCCAAAAACATATGAGCAATTCTCAGGAGTTTATGGTTTTCTCTAGGATCTTCAGGGTCCAAAAAGCTTCCAAGCTTCCAAACGTATATAATAAAACTTAATACTACAACAGCTTTCAAATTTCAGTTTCAAACTTCCTACTATAAATCCTTTTTTTTTTTTTTTTTTTGACAAAATTGATTTTTTATTTTATTTATTTATTTAAGAGTCACTCACCATTCTCTGCTGCAAAGTTTGTCCGAGGAGCTGAAGGAAAGAGAAAGGAACATTACAATTTCTTTGGTAATCTGAAAATTTATTCTATGTAAATAATAAATGCAAATCACTAATTTGGGTAAAATAAAGCAATAGCAGTACACTATAAGAAACATTTCCCCTTAAACTAACAGTCATGCGCATAGTGTGGAATGACCTAAATATGCAGTTACTGGTACATAACGTTGCAGTTTAGACCGATACTGAGGCTTATTACTGTATGTCTGCCATCAGGTCAGACCTCTGAGTCCCCTGAGTTTTGGGACCACTGAAAAAACCATTGGAAAAGTCTCAAAACTGTCAACAAATAGAGCAGAGAGCAAGCTGCTCACCAGCCACACTAAAACAAGGCACATCAAAGTGCTCAATGAGCCTGAAGAATGCTGATGAATGGAAAAAAAAGCCATGGCAGTGTAAAGAAAAAAGGAAAAAGAGAAAAGGAGAAAGCAAGGGAAACAAAAGGAAAGTTATGGATGAAAAGGAAGAAATCTCCATCCTCTGGTTTCCACATGCTTTGACCAGCAGAATGTTGCTTTGACCCATCAGTGGACAGAGCTTTCCTCTGGAGTGGACAGTGGGCTAATGTTTCAGAGGTGCCTCTGTATCAGGATGTTTTAGTGACTCTCTGGGCCCTCTTTAATCCTCTGGTAATGCTAAACCATCATCCTTACCTTGTACTCTGTTGGGAAAGAAAAAAAAAGCTTTTAAAGTCAGAACTAATTTCTGCACAAATAATTTTATTCCCAAATATGTCAGCAAAATAAGCATTTTGTAAAAAGAAGAAAAAACTCCTTTACTTACCTCTGATTCCCCAGGTGACTTCACTGCCACTGTCATACTGATAGTAGTCTGCACTTTGTGGCTGGAAAACAAATAGACAGGCAAACAAATTGTGGCTAAAGGTTTAAATGACATTTCCAACCCATCTGCTTTGAGTGCTCTGTTTACAGTGAAACTTACCCTGTGCAATCCATTCCTGCCATATCCGGGCAAAGAGGCTGACTTGGATATGTAGTCTTCAAATAATAATAATAATAATAATAATAAGACAGAACAATAAACATCAATTTATGAAACAACCTCACTATATGAGAAAAGGTTTGTTAAATTTTGACTGCCTTGTTCGTAAGTGTACAGTAGAGGGCGCTAGTGACCAGGCTTGAATCTGTGTTGATAACACTGCAAATATTTATCTGTTCTTTTATTTATGCAAAATAAATTAACTACAGACAACAGACACAGTCTCCCTGGGGTTAAAAGCCTTGCCAAAAATTATGAGGATCATATATCTTGCCAAAACCATATGAGCACCCAGCAATTCTCAGGAGTATATGGTCACTCACCATTCTCGGCTGCAAAGTTAGTCCGAGGAGCTGAAGGAAAGAGAAATAAATATTATAATCTCATCAGTAATCTGATAATTAAGTCTATGTAAATGATAAATTCAAATAACTAATTTGGGTCAAATCAGGCAATAGCAGTTCACTATAAGAAACATTTCCCCTTAAACAAACTGCCATGTGCATAGTGTGGAATAGGCCAAATATGCAGTTACTGGTACATAATGTGCTGCTGTGCAGACTGGTACTAAGCTCCTTATGTCTGCCATCAGGTCAGACCTCTGTATGAGTCCCCTGAGTTTTGGGACCACTGAAAGAACCATCGGAAACGTCTAAGTAAGCTGCTCACGAGCCTCACTGAAACACGGCACATCAAAGTGCTCAATGAGCCTGAAGAATGCTGATGAATGGAAAAAAAGCCATGGCAGTGTAAAGAAAAAAAAATGAAAAAGAAAGAAAATGAGAAAGTAAGGGAAACAAAAGGAAAGTTATGGATGAAATGGAAGAAACTCAATAAGAAATTTGACATGAAAAAAGGCAAAAGCTAGAGGTTGAAATTCATATGCAGCAACTGAAAGAGTCTTTAAATTACAGATGAAGGTAAACAGGGATTACGAGTACAGTATGTACACGTTCAAAAGTTTGGGGTCGGTAAGATTCATTAAGGTTTTTGAAAGTCTCTTATGGTCACAAAGGCTGCATTTATTTCATCAAGATGCAGTTAAAACAGTAATATGATGAAATATTTGTACAATTTAAAATAGCTGTACAAATTTACTACTTTAATATATTTTCACATGTAATATATTCCTGTGATGGCAAAGCTGAATTTTTAGCAGCCATTACTCAATATGAAAGAATATGAAAGAATTTTTGGTACTGATTTTTCACAGGTGTTTTACCTATATTTCGAATTATGCATTGCATTTTGTTGTGTTTTAGGCTTGAAAGAAATGTCTTTAAACTTAATTGAAATGTGCTGGTGATTCTATGCCAGGACATTATAAAGATCTATTTAATCAATTAATTCAATTTATCGATTTAATACATCCTTGCTGAATAAAAGTATTAATTTCTTTTAGAGAAAAAAACTTTTTCCTGGTAGCGTAAATAAATTAAAACATATACGTACATATTTCATGCATATACAAATTAAAGATGAGATGAAATGTTCATTACCTGCCTATCTTAACCTTCAGTGATGTCACCACTGTAATCCAGTGTATTAACTCAGTTGTATGAATTGGATCTACAATGTCACTCCCAAACTTCCCCTTGTGCTGTGCAGTAAATTCTACCCATTTCTATTCAGGAATAAAAGAAGACATGGGACACCAGCATGGGCTGCACCAGGCATTGTGAAGTGTAGCGATGGATATGGGGGAGGGCAAAGCAGGAATATTGAAGCCAGATCCATGAACAGAAGAGGAAAAACAGGGAACTAAAGAGAGGGAGGGGATGAAGGGAAAATTCCAGATGCTTCATGCACTTCCCCATGAGATACACAGAAATAGAATTAAGGAGAGCAGCCCGCTGACATGCACATGAGGAGGGATGGAGAAAGAGGAAAAGGAAAAATGAGAAGAAGAAAAAAGAGTAGGAGTGAAAGGTGGGTTGTAATGTAGGAAACTTATTAAGTGAAGACAGATACAGTTACCAACCCCATTTATCAAATAAATATGGAAAATATTTCACCACACACACACACATATATATATTCTATACTATTTTGTCTAAATTAAACTGAAATTAATAGATTTGAATTCACTTTGAAACATTTTTTCACAAGTGAATTTCAGAACATAATAATATACTGTATTAAAATTTGATTTTTTTTATTTTTTTTTTTAGATTTGCAACAGATTATATATATCAATGGTATTAAATTATTAGTGTTCATAAAGATTAACTTTAAGTGAACATTACAGAATGGCAGTCTAAATGTAAAAATAGGAAAACTGAGCATTTGCAAATAAATATCCAATATTGGCTGATTTAAATTCAATACTGACCATAACCAATAAATTAAAAATGTCTCATTGGGTGATACCACAGTGATTTTGTGTACATCTAATTTGATATATATATATATATATATATATATATACAGTTGTGGTCAAAACATACTCAAAACATTACACTTTGCAGTGTAAGGAAAAACTAATTTGAAGATGAGGGTAAATTGAACGTATTTTGTCTTCTGGGAAACATGTAAGTATCTTCTGTAGCTTCTGAAGGGCAGTACTAAATGAAAATAAAAATATGATATTTAGGCAAAACCAAAGAATTTGTTATTTTGAAGATTTTTCTGGAGGATATATATATATATATACACACACACACACACACACACACACATACATCATGCATATACTAAAATATTAGGGTGTTGGATATAGAAAGGTCAGATTGTGTGTTAATATAAGGAAAACAGCAACAGAGAGAAGTGTGTGTATGTGAAAAAAAAAGAGCGAGAGACAAAGAAATAACCAGAACAGGTGCACGGCACTGCATTGCTGTAGTGTAATAGTTTTTTTTTTTTTGCTGTGTCTGCACTATTCCTGAAACCCCTCAGAATTCCCCCTCCCAGCATCACAGTCCTATATCATCATATGCTGGCTGTGTCACCATTGACTCAAGTCTGCCTTCACTGTAAAGTGTTCCAGAGCTCCACTGCCTTAATTAGATGGCTCTGTGCCACATCTTCATTGACCATGCCGCCCTACGCTGAATGATGACAGCCATACGGAAGGTAAGCAAAGCAACTCCCATACTGCATGCAGTCAAAACCACACCGGACCTGTTGCCGTCATGCATTGAGATTGTTGGAAGGGAAAAGCTGGTCTTAGACAAACACAAACAGTAGGTTTGGCTTTGAAGGATCAAATGCAGCGACCAATATGATATGCCACGCTCTGTTTTTGATGACTCTATAGCAACCCCCTCCGAACACACATCTCTATAATCTGTGTTCATACAGCAGCTCAAGTGGAGTACTTACAGCCGTTAATTGTGTTGTTGTGGCCCATGCTGTGCAACATCTCCCTGCTCCCACTGCGGGAGTTCCGTGCGCTTCCCCAGGGGTCGTTGTCATAGGAACCGGAGCGGGCTTTCATCTCCTCCTTCAGGATCATCCTACCGATACCACCCTGAATCTGAGACACAGACAGAAAGAGAAAGAGGAAGGCAGAAACAAATGAAATAATGAGCGAGCATCCTGCGATAGTAAGAGTGATCAGCACTTGACGCTTAGTGGCTAGATTTCAAAAATTGATTTTTATTTTTACTTTAATTACTGGTTAGAGGGCACTGTGAAAATAAAGAGATGGCGTGCTTTATTGGCTTACTCTTTGAAGGCCATGACTCCAGCCATCTTCTTCTCCACCTGATGAGTATCTTCTCCGAATAGCGCGTAAAGCTGAGAGGGAAAGAAATTGAGAGAGAAAGCGAGAGTGAAATAATTTGTCTTGATGAAGCAAAAAACAGAATAGTTTAAGCATCTAAAGGGAGATACACAGCGTATTATACAATAAACAGTCTTGAATGACAGCAAAAATATGCAATAAAATATGCTATAAAATGTATATATACTGTATATATACAGTATACAATATACAGTATACACGCAATCTCTTATTAAATTGTAATACTTCTAATCTGCAAATGACTTTTGGCTCAGATTCAGTCTAAGATTTCAAATAAACAAGAAAACAGACACAAAGCCAAAAAACCTGAAGGAATTAAGGAGCCTTTTGATCTCAGAAACTGCACCCACCTGTGATCCTTTGGTCAAACACATGGAAAAAAAAATCATATATTCATGATCGGGATACAACACAGCTAATAAAAATACAGCTCTTAAATGTTTTTACTGTATCTTGTCCCAATTGGAAGATGTAATTAAATATTGATAATGTAATTTGTACAAAAATAAATGTAAATGAAAGGACAATATGAATCACTTTAAGCATATTAGAATATCTCATACATTTCACGACAGCTTCTGTATTATTCTGCTTTTAGTAAATGAATTAGTTTGGCTTTAATATAATAGATGTTCTTGTCAAATTTGATTCACACATTTAGAAAAAAAACGAATTAGATTAAAATGGTTATTTCTGTAAAACAATTCAATAAAAAAAGAAAATTTGCTTTTGTGTGTTTATTTAGATGTTTTTGACTAGTTTGAGTATTACAAATTATGGCTATTTATAAAGCATTATTTAGTGGAAACAGGTTAAACAGGTTAAGATATTTTGTATTAAATCACTACAATGCATTTGGGACTGCTCAATAGGAAAAGGAACTGCTCTGCAATATAATACTGTTACGGTCCCTGTTTAATTTCTTTGCCTTTTGGTTTTCCTTGTTCCCGTTTGCCTGTGTTTCTGCTAGTTAGTCTCCTTGGTTGTTAATTAGTTTTCCAAATCTGTTCTGTTTCAGTTAATTATTATCTGTCTATTTAACCCTGCAAACATGTCCTTGCGGGGCCCATGCTGGCTTTTTGCGGGCACAGTGGGCTAGGGCCAACCCACACCAAACCTAAACAGGCCCAATGCGGGCTTGCCCAGGCGAGGCCCACAGCTTTGGGCTCACCGTAGGCTCTCTGTGAGCAGGCCACACTAGCGGACTGTCCACATTAATCCTATGATGGCCCAGTGTGGGCCAGCCCGTTCGGGCCCAGAGCAACTTTTGTATCCTTTGGGCCCATGCAGGTTTTGTGTAGGCA